ATAGTTTAAATGAACGTCAAAAATAATTAATCGTGTATCAAACATGGGTGTTAAAAGAGGCGTATAACTCGTTTTTTATTTTTTCTTTGATTATTTCTTCAATGTTTATTATTTTTGAACAACAAATTTCTTAATATAATTTACATCATTTCATTAGGAAGTTTTATATGGGTATGATACCCAAAAAAAATAAAAAATAAAAATAAAAAATCAGAAGTAAAATGATATCATTTAAAAATTAAATTTTAAAAATTTCCTAAATGATTGATAGACGACATTTTATATTGATGTAAAATTTTTTGACATCCATGTCAAAAGAGATGTCATTTAAAAATTTTAGAAATTCATTTAGGAAATTTCCTAAATGCTGTCAAAAATTATATTAGGAAATTCATTAGATTATTTTAATTTTTTTGAAAAAATGATCGAGACTTAAAAGTAACAGTAATGTAAAAAAATTCCTAAAAATGATTCAGATTTTTTTAAGGAAATTTCCTAAAAAAATTTCTAAAAAAAATTTAAATGACGTCTCTTTTGACATGGATGTCAATTTTTTTTTTTTTTTTTTTTACATCAATATAAAATGTCGTCTATCGATCATTTAGGAAATTTTTAAAAATTTACTTTTTAAACGATGTCATTTTACTTTTGATTTTTTTATATCATAACCGTATAATACTTCCTAATAAAATGATGTAAATCATATTGAGAAATTTGTTGTACAAAAATAATAGATATTAAAGAAATAATTAAAGAAAAAACAAGTTATACGTCTCTTTAAACACCCACGTTTGATGCACGATTAATTTTTTTTTTTACGTTCATTTAAACTATTCAATACGTTTATGATTTAGTTCTCAAAACGAGATTCAAGATTACGCCAACAATTTATGGATTTGACTAGCGTATGAATGTCGAAAAATTTTAAGGTTAGCATAATACCAAAAATCTCAAATACGAATTTCAATTGCCGACTTTGATGCACTGCAACTTTTGTAACGATTGGCCGTTTTGTGTGTCATTGAAGACGTGAAATACTAGGTCATGAACACTTCGAAATAATGTTAAAAATACAATATTTCGACTTTGTTTGATATCCCATAATAACACCGAAAGTAACGACAAAAACAATAAAAATTATAAATATTTATGCTGGAACAACTTGGCCCTTTTCTTTAAAATTTCCACAGCACTTCTCCTCTTTATTTCATGTCGCATCAGCAAATTTAAATTTCTGGCTTTTCTCTATCAACCAATATCTGTACGTCTAGCATAATTGAACTTTATTTTACCAACACATACAATTACTGTACTAAAGTTTCTAACAAGCATATAATTCTAATTTCATTCATAGGGAAAACTAGTTTGATACTTGTTTTTGTCTGCGTGTATTGCTATTTGCCTCTTTTTTGAAGCAGATATTATCTAATTTGTATATTTCATATTTGTATAATGGTCCAATTAATATATATTCTCCCAGTTTGATAGGGAGTAAAATCTAAATTTGACTTTAAGTTATAGTCAACAATTAATTTCAACCACATATTTTATAGGATTCATACATTTTCAACCACTTATTTCTTTAACTTTTATTGAAATATACTAAAAATTTGATTTTAATCTATTACAAACAGTGGCATAAATAAAAAACAGTACACAAATTCTTAATCATTGGTTCAAAGAGATGAACAAAATATTTAGAAATAGTTTTAAAAAATAAGAATTAACATGACATAGACAAGAAAGACAGTTGACCCTAGTCGAAAGAGATGAACGTGCACCATATTTTGCCAACGTTTGAACTTCATTATTTGAAAATTTATTTGTTTTCAAACTCATGTTCAACTACATATTTTTTTTCAAAAAGTTATTATATTCATAAATCCAAAATTTTTCATACTTTTTAACAACTTATTCACCAAACAATTACTATCACAAAATATATTCTCCAGAAAAATGGGGCTCGAACAAGCCTTAGTAGCATTTAAATCAAAATTAATAATTTTCTGCTTTTTAATATTCTTAAGTATTGTTACCCTCGAAAATCGACAGTCCACATCCCAACAGATATCCACTTATTTTTCTGTCCATGTATATGTTACCTGCACATTTGGACGGTCAAGTTAGGACTTGATAAGTGCACAAAAATATACTTTAATTATCAAAATCACGACGCCTAAATGCCAAAAAGTGAATAGGAATCATATGAATCAATTCTTGTTTTTTAAAAGTTGTCCTATTTATCTTAAAACAATTTCTAATCCAATTCTTGTGTTAAATTTCAAGTTTTTGATTCAAATGAAGAATGGAGTACAAAAGAAAAAGAAAAAAATATATATATATAGGCCCAGTGTCGCAGCGCTGGAAATCGGCACCGGGGATTCTGTCCACAGCAGAAAGTGCAGCGCCCACTGTTCTACTGTTGGGCAGAAACACAGGCTCCGCGGCACTTGTCGCGTAAAAATAAGGGAATTTTTTTTATTTTTTTTTTGACTCTTTTCTTTTCTTTCCCATTCAACTTGGATTTCTTTGGAGACTTGAAAGGATGAAAACACAACACAAAATATAATATTTCTAGGAGAAATCAGGACAAAACAAGAGATGAAGATCAAGAATTCCATGGAGAACTAAAAATTTCGGTGAAGTTGTGAAGGAATTCAATTGGGTTTGGCGATTTCAACATCACTTCATTCATATAATTAGATTTTCATTGCTGAATAATTCTAAAGTTTAGGCATTTCTTTCTTATATTTTGTTTTGGGATTTGTTTAGCGTTTATTAAATTTTTCGTAGATTCAGTTTCGCTTTTTTCTATCGAACAATTGAAATATTCATTGAGTTTTAATATCAATCATTTATTTTATTAGTGTGATTCATTAATGCTTTATGCTTCACGTATATGGTAATTTCTTGAAACATATTCCAATAACAAAAGTGAGAATGTATTATAAGAAGTTTAAACTTTGGAATTACTATTGGATTAAATTGGTATTGAATGTTATATCTTCCAACTACAGAACTAGGATATAAATCTCTTATTGAGTAAAAAGAATGAATTATTGATGTTGATTGGTCCAATCTAGTTGAGGGAATTCAGATACTTCACTATTTCATCCATTGATTTTTAAATTTTCATCCCATAAAAAACTTCTTTTCACATAACTCAAGAGAACCCTAATCTTTTGAATCCCTTAAGTAAATCAACTATCTCCTTGTGGAGTCGATACCCCAAAATTGTGCTACAAATATCAAATTATTTTTTGGACATAATTAAATTTTGGCACCATTGTCGGAGAAACGGTACAAGTGACTGAGGGATTTACTAGTAAAAGGGTGATTTCGTTCCTTTACCATTCTTTGGTTAATTTATTTTATTTATTGTTTTTTTTAATATCTCACATAGATTTGTTTTAATTAATACAATTATTATGTGTTTATAATTTGTCTAACTTGTAATGATGTTAAATGACCTAAATAAATTGTAGTGAACAACCACATATATAAACGAAATAAATTGGGGAAGACCACAACCATAGTCTTTTGCTGTAGAAGAAAAACATGTTGAAAATGTGTGTAAAATATGAAAATAGGCTTGGATCGGATGAATATGGCACTCGAGCATCAGGAGGGAGCCGCCCTGCCACTCGATCGTTTTGCTAGCACTAGGAGAATGCCAACTTCACTATTTTAGGCGTTCAAGTTCCAACTTAGCGTCAGGTAAGCATCATTGCTTCAAAAAGTCCTCCCTAATCTATATTTTAATCTCTTTAAGTCTAGTACAAATTTCAACTCTCAATTAGATTTTCAAATAGAACTTTAACAAGAATTTGCCTAATAAACTTCAAATAGAAATCTAAAATAGCATCCAAATTGAACTCTTCTTAAGTCAACTTTAATTAGAATTTCCAACTATCTTCTAAACACACACTAGTTCTAGCAAAACTCCACTTTGACACGAATTTCACTTCAATGAGTAAACTTAAAAAATTCTCCATTTGGAGACAAATTCCACTATAAGGAATAAACTTCAAATTCTTCAATGGTAATCACAAGCGAAATTCTCCATCAAAATTTTCAACTACAAATATTCTCTAGAACTCTGCCTTCCAACTAGAGCAAAACTCAATAACTGATATTAACAAAATTCTTCAGCTCCAAATCCACTCGAGTTCTTAAATATGTTGATTTTGTGTTTATAATTTGTTTAACTTGCAATGAGGTTAAACAACCTAACTAAATTGTAAAGAAAAGCCAATTATATATAGAGAACAAATAGGGGATGTCCATAACCATAGTCTTGGTGTTGTAAAAGGGAAAAAATGTTGAAAATGCGTGTAAAACGTGAAAATGGGCTTAGGCAGAATGAATATGGTGCTCAAGCACCAGGCGGATGCCACCTTCACTGTTTTGGGTGCTTGAGCTCCAGTTGAGCACTAAGCAAGCATAATTGCACCAAAAAGTCCACATTTGTCCATATCTTGATCTCATCAAATCCAACACAAATTTCAATTCCTAATTGGGATTTCAAATAGAACTTAAATTAGAATATGTCAAATAGATTTTGAATAACATTTCAAAATAGCATTCCAAATATAATTCTTCTTATGTTAACTTTAATTAGATTCTCAATTATCATCCAAATGGAATTCGGATCATACTCTTAATTCTAGCACGGTCCATGTTTTGCTCTTAGCTCTGGCGTCCAATTTTCTATGGTGACATGTGACTCACTTCAGCTGGTACATACTATATTGTGCAATCTGATTTTATTATTTTAGCCATGAATTCGACCATTTGTTTGATAATGTAGCACTTGCTTTAGAGGTAGATTGTAGTCCGTGCCACTATATTATTCCTAGTGATGAGAATGTTAGCATCCTTCACTATTCAAAATGTCCCCCTAATTCAAAATGTCAGCATCCTGCACTATTCGTGTTCTTTGTGAATATGTGTCAGACAGGTCACAAGTACTTGAGTGTGAAATCTATAAAATACGCAGCTCAATCTGATCACATGCACCATATATTAAGCCAAATTTATGTCATAATTCTACACAATATAAAAGAAACTGAATATTGAACTGAAAAATTAGGTTAATGGAAAGGGATAAACAAGGAGAGAAGATATGCTAAAACAAATTATGGTGGCTGATATGAAGAAAGAAGGCCTATGTAGAAATACTGAACTATTATCTGCATTGTGCCAATAAACTGTGTTTCCACCACAAGAACACCCTTTAGTTCTACGTGCCTTTTCTTTCCAGCCAATATTATCGTTTGTTGCCAAAAGTTTTCTTCCATCTGCATATGTTTCCCATTTGACAGTCCCATTTCTGCCTGCACGCAAATTAACTTGGAGATTCAGAAAAGAATTGATTTGATTTGATCCACACAATTCTTAATGTAAAGCATAAAGAAATAAATTATTCGTCTAAAATTTTAAGCAATAAGATGAAAAAATAAATAAATAAATAAAATAAAACAGAAGAGACAATGAAATGGTATTCAAGTCTTATCCCAACTCGTTTTCTTTACATGACACAATCCTTCAATGAAAACAGTAATAATAATAATCTAATTTAGACAACAAATGGACAGATTTAAGGTTTTATGTAAGATGCTTCAAAATAATTGTTACCGCGTTTTTCTGTTTCCAACAAGTTGTACGTTGGGAAATCCATATCTCTCTCCCTAATCATATGAGGATTTTCGAGAGCCAATCCCGGAACGACTTTAGCACATAGAAAGATAAATGTCCAGGCTAAATAAATGCTTTTCATTTTCAAGATAAATCGGGACAGAAGGAGAATGATTGCAAAATGGGTTTGGGATTTTTAGGGAAGAAGGCTTTTTATATAGGATAAAATAACACTTTAGAAAAGTGACTAAATTGTCATTCAAGATTAGAACCAAAATATTGGTAGTTATTGATCTTAAGGAGTATTCTTCCTTGCTTACTAATTAATTCCTTTTTTCCATCTTAGTCAATTAAGATTCTCCTTGATTCAAGTTGTTGGTTACTAATCAAAAGAATTGGATCATTACGAATTGGTCAGCAATTAGAATTCTAATAAACTATATATTTATCAATGACAAATTTAGATTGTTACTCTCATAAGTTGCTTTAACAATTGTTCTCAATTTCACTACATAAATGCTGAATGAACAAAGGAATTTTTAGTCCTGAATCTCCTATTCCGTTGGTAATAGCCTTAACGAACGGAAATTGCTTGTTAGTCCATCCGCACGGGAAACTCTCACTGCTAATTTACTAACGTATTAGAAACAAGAATTTCAGTTGCTGTTACCGTTATTTGTTCCAAAAACTACGCATAGAGAAAATCACCAATGGATTAAATGGAGAAAATTACCAACGTATAAAATTGTAGCTATATAGCATCACTTTTCTGTTGGTATTTTTTATTTGTTTACCATTGATTAAATTCATTGTTAATTTGAATTGCAAGTCCCACTTGCGAGTGAAGAAATAAAAAATGACGATTGAAATAGTGAAATAACGGTCAAGAAATTGATTTTTTGGAATGAAAAATTTCTATCAAACAAGGCCCAATTTGTTGTGAATTAAGACATTTAAGCTAAAAAAAATTGTAGACAAAAACCATCCAACTAAGGGTGTATGTAAAATTGCAAGTGTTTCTCATTTCACATGATATGATCGAACAACCATAAGTGATGTCAATGGATGCGCATTATCCATATAAAAATATTTTAAAACTTTCTCTGGATGTGAAGATTGATTAATAAATAATCCTTCTAAAAAATATTCAATCTGTGACCCAAGACAATTTGTTTTTCCCCAAATCTGTCATCTCAAATTTATTTTTCAAATAATCAGCAATTTTGTTGAGGTCTCCACAGGTTCCAATTAATTAATTTAAATCATCCAAAAAAAAAATTGCAATAATTGTAAATCTAATATTTGTTTTCTTTATGCAAACATATAGGCAAATATCGTAATTTTTATGTCATTCCGTTAACAAATATTCACTAAAGCAATTATACCACATGAGTCCATTTTATTTGGTCAATCATTACTTCAATTGATATATTCGATGAGTTTATTTTGATTCATCGCTATATGATATAGTATATCACGTGCAAAATTATTGTCGACAATTTTTTCCTTTTGATTTTATTTGTTTTTCCTTATTGAGACATCTCAAGTTTCATTATTTAAGGTACCTTAATCTTTTTTGAGGTTTTATAATTTGTTATATCTAAATACTCATCAACAGTATATGTTTTTTTAATGAGATAATCTTTGTTAAGTGCTGTATTTTCATTTGAAGATTTTTTGTAATAGAATCGAAAATTATCACGCTTTAAGCTTGTCATAGATATTACAAATATAATACTGACAAATTGTCCTCCTAGGACATCAATTTGTATCGGAGCATTTAAAATTGGTGCAAGAGATATTGTTTATCTCTTTGTTGAATAAATGTATCTAAATAAATTATTTTGCGAACTTATGGTTTGAATGATATTTTGCAAGGATTTAGATGATGATGTATTTATACATTATTTTCAACTTTATAGTTCCTCTCCCCTAAAGTTGAAAGAATTGTCTATCAATTTGACAATTATATTTCTAGTGTCATAAAATTTCGTCCAGTTGGGAAAAATGTTCAAACTATGTATTTATTATCAGCATTTTTTATTTTTTATCTCAGTGCATTGTGGTAATTCAATTTTACAATATACTCCACTATTAAAATAATTAAATGGAAAAATTAAGTTCTGACGATAAGTCAATTATAATATGAAGAACTATAATACTGGCATGATGTGTAATAGAATTTTCTAAACAAAAATGGAAAGTACTTTGTTCTCAATTAAATTAATTGGAGGCACTTAATAAACAATAATGTTAAACCATTTATTGACATTCTAACTAACACTTATTAAAATGTTGAGACTTATGCCCACTAGCATTAACAAGACACGGTCTTAATTATATAATCTGAAAAATATTCTCATAATTTAAAATTTGAGTAGTAATTTCACAAACTTTAGATTACAAACACCATGTAATCATTTAGTGTATGTATCAAATCTACTAGATAAAATAATATTTAGATAATCAATATAGAGGATGATGGGGCACAATTTATTACCTTAATTAATTTTCAGAAATATAGGGATTTCATTTTTTAGTTAGTGATTGTTAATGAAAAAATTTCATGAAAGATATCAAACATCATATAGGATTGAATTGAAGAATCTTTCGGTTCTTCATGCCAAATAATAAAGTCAAACTGAACTTTTAGTTCAATATAAGATGTAATTCGATGATTTAATTTCGAAGAATACGATTAAAGCTTATATAATCATATATCATTCAAATAATCAAACCAATCAATGTTTTCTTTGAAAATGTGCTACTTCGAGAGCACATTATCTTTAATTACTACTTCGTCAAAAGTAATAAATCAATATTCTTCTAAACCATTGAAAATTATAATTCATGCTCTTCAAGAGCGATAAATTAATATTCTTCTTGAATATTAATAATGTAGACAATCAATTTTTTAAAAATTACATCTCAGTGTTGAGTTGTTTAATTCATGTTCCTTATTATTTGGGATATCTGATATTTCGAAAGTACGTTATATTTTATTATTACTTCTGCAAAAGCAATAAATTAATATTTTTTTAGAATATTGAAAATAATATAAAAATAATATTGCACTCTTCAAGAGCAATAAACATAATATTCTTCTGAAATATTAATTATTATGTCGTGTTAATTTAGAAGCAGCACATGATAAATTATTAATTTAAAGTTTACAGAAGAACATCTAAAAATATTTTATTACCTATAGACATGATATGAATTTATGTAAGAAAATTAATTACAAAGTAAAAAAATCTTCCAAACATGCATGTGAATTGACTCCATTTATAGACATGCAAATGGGACGAGGTAATAATTATGCATATAATGAAAAAATCATTATAGATTGTGTACAAGCAAAAAAGCATAGAAATAGAAGAAGAAGCAGCCTCATTTTGATGCATATGTATGTAGAAAAATTCACATGTCACCAAATTAATTTTGGTACACGTAATGAATATTTATGTTATAAAAAATTACCACCTTCACAAAACTTTGAAAAATTAAGTTAACGTGCTGTGAAAAGAGAGAAAAAGATAAGAGATGGTAAAAGTCAATAAACTTCTGTGATTTATTAAGAACCAAAACCTTATATTTATAGGGAAAATCAGAGATACAACGGTAATAATTTTAATTGTTGTAGAGGTACAATTGTCATTTACTAATAAATTTATTATTCACAACAAAGAATGATATATCTAATTTTTCATTTTTTTCCCTATTTAACCAATAGACTTAAAAAAAAATTTGTCCGGGTCGACCAGATCAAGGTTTAATTGTCAATTTATCGAGTTTGATATCAATTTTTAAAGAAAGTGTTTCAATGCCCAATCGAACTGGATGCTAACCAAGTTCTTGATATTTTTCAATTGAACCGAAAGGTTTAGTTTGATTTTCAGAACATTGAAAATTACATTCATAGAAAAGGTACGCGGTTCATCGATTCATTACCTAAAGAAGTATTGGAATTAGTTTATTCTAATGTGTGTGGACCCTAAAATATGCCTGTGAGAGGAGGTTATAAGTATTTCATCACCTTTAACGAAGATTGCTCTAAATTAAGAATTATTTACCTAGTGGCTCAAAAAATTATATGCTTTTGAGAAATTCAAAGAGTATATGACTAAGGTTGAAATAAGAGTATTGTGACATTTCGATCATATTGAGGTGGCAAATATATTTTGGGAGAATTTAGGGACTACTTGATAGAAAATGATATTGTTTCTCAATTGATTCATAATTCTACCTATTGTATTTGGAGATATTTACTGAAGACAACTACATATATTCTCAATTTAGTTCCTTTTCTAAGTTTGTTCCCAATACGCTATTGAAATAGTAAAATATGCATAAATCTAGCTTGCATCATATTCGAGTTAGGTCTGTGTTTTGCTCTTAGTTCTGGCTTCCAAGTTTCTATGATGCAATGTGGCTCACTTCAGCTGGTATATATTACATACTGTACTATTTGATTTTATTAATTTGACAACTAATTCAACCATTTGTTTGATAATGTAGCAGTTACATTAGAGGTAGGCTGTGGTTTGTGTCACTATATTCCTAGTGATGAGAATGATAAGGCCCACATTTTAGTTTCATATCCTAAGGTGGATAGGAATTTATTTTCTTGGATGAATTGTATTCCATTATTTATTGCACATGTTGTTCAAGCGATCTAATTGAATGCGAATTTCATGTTGCCATCAAAATAATATGTACTCACAAATGTTGGGTTTCAGGAGCTTATGGATTTAAATCTAAGGAAAATTGTAGCAACGACCCTTGACCTATAACTTTCCCTTTTTTTTTTCCAGACTTTACTCTAATACTTAGTTTTTGTTATCCACAATTCCAAACTTTTCAAAAAGATGTATCTGCTATCCAAATGTAAGGAAACCGTTTATTCTATCGTCAGTTAGCCTAGAAAATGCAAAAATTGAATATTTTGACCATTTTAAGCATGGGCATTTTTGTCAATTCCATATTTCCTCTTTTAATGAGAAGAAAAGAAATAAAAATCACTATTCACCTCCCACTCAATCCCTACCCACCCCAACTCAGCCAAACTAGAAATCAACCCACCATCATCGTTTCTACAACCACCACCTCCCATTGTCTCCACAAACTAAAACCAATCGTCACTGCCACCATCACCATCAC